GTTGTTTGCTGCAACAGAGGAGGAACCTACAAAATTTAAATAAATAACAATGTAACCATAAGAAAGAACTAGTAATTGCCAGTCTATAGAGCGCACCTATAAGCCACGCACACTAAGTTTAAAGTAAAACACAATTTTGTTCATAAATAAGCTGCGCTTGTGTATAAGCCGCAGGTGTCCACGTTTTAATATCAGAAACTGCACACAGCTCCTGACAGAATGTGCAGCTCTTGTTGTAGTACAAGACTCAACCACCAGATGGCGAACAACACTCAGACGGAGTGTCAAAGTAAAATGTTTTTCAACAGCAGGATGCTTGTTAGCCTGTCAAAATCAAATGCAAAAATTGAATAAATACAAATTATAAATTGTATGACTACGCTACCGATAAATGTTTTTGGTGGCAGGAAGCTTGTTAGCTTGCAAAAAAATACCATAAATATTATTAAAAAATACATAAGTTATCTGCGACCTTGTTTAAACCGCGGTGACCAAAGTGTGTGAAAAAAGTAGCAGCTTATACATTGGAAATTATGGTAATTGATGTTTATTTAACATTTTTTGCTAAATAAAGTCTTCCCAAACACGTAATTAAAAGACTTCTTATCATTATATCATCACATAAGTTGTGTTCATTTCTGCTCCGTTCCTTTTGTTGTCATAAACTGTCTCTTTTTTTAAGGGCTGAGTTTTCTAGTAAAGTTTTTCTCGTTCACCTATTTTTCTGCTGTTGACAAGCTAAAGAAAAGTCTTAACATTCTGACTGAAAGGCACCTCGCTGAGGCTGCGGTTTGAATCGTGTAGACTTTTAAAGACCGATGCTTCGCTCGATTAAATGTAAAGACGGCACTAAAACGTTAAAGACGGCTGTGCTGCTGTTTGGTCAGAGTCATGTGTATGGCGATCAGTCAGTAAGATTATTCAAAATTCAAAGTTTCTGCACTAAGTTGATGCAGCAGTATGGGCATACAGGGACAACTCAGTTTTTATTTGTGGCTCCTGTCTCGAGCCTTCAGTTTTACATCTAAACAATAGATGAAAGATGAACTTAATCAGTAACAAGTCCACTCAAAGATAGGAGTACACTGGTGTGCAACAGCCGAAATTCATTCAACCTTTATTTAGACAAAAATGCACGGGACATAGGCCTGTCGTGATAAACAATAAATCAATTAATTTCATGGTAAATTAAAATTATTTACCTCATTTTCATTTATCGGCTTTATCGTTTCTTCGTGTCTCTTTCTACTGAAGACACTGGATGGCAAAAGGCTCAACTCGGGTGCTCTTCGCTGACCCCTTCCTTTCGCTTTTCTCTTTAAAATCCGTTTTAACCGTCCAAAATCATGTTTTTGGACTGTTAAAAGCCGCTAAGCTGAGAAACTCAGCTACGAGCTAAGCTAGCAGGCCAACCTCGGTAAAAACTCTCCGTCTTGTCGAAGCTCCAAAATTTACGATTGAAACCCGTGCCTTCGTGTAAAAAGTTGTTTTTCTCTGCAAAAAGAAGCTGAGAACTTGTTTACTTGTTGTTTCTTATTAAAAGCTTCGTTTGAAAAACGCTATGCTAAAGAGCTCAAAACACACTGAGCGTCCGCCATTTTGAGAACTGAAAAAAAGGAAGGAGACACAGCCCATGTCACGTCAAGGGGCCTCCCTCTCATTTTTCTTAGAGACGTGCTGCTCGCGCCCTCACTATCCATCCTACGGTTCAAACTGTCTTATACTGCTATTCGGTGGTCGGAAAAACAAATTAACCAACATTTCTGCTTAAATTTGACAATAATTAATAATTATTGTCAAATTTCAAACAATATTATCGTTTATCACGATAATTTCTGAGACAATTAATCGCCCGGCAAAATCTGTAACCGTGTCAGGCCTAACGGGAAACAAACCAGATGAATCCTGCCCTCGAGGAGAAATCCTGACGACGTTCTTGTGATCGAAGAAGCTAAGGTTTGACCAGAAACTTTTCGTTTGCTCAACGAGCTCAGTCTTACAAAGGACTTTGTCTAATGTCACTAGAGTGAACCACACTTAGTTTTTGTTTTAAAAAAGTAGCCATTAGTTAAAAGTCCACAAAAAATATTACAGCATTTCATGAATGTGGTTGTGTAACAGTATTAAGTCGAGGAAAACTCCACCGATGATCAGAAATTAGCTGCAGGTTCTCAGGTAAGGAGCTTCTCTGCTGTGGGATTTATCAGTTTATGGAAGTGAGTTCAGCACTAAAGGGAGTTATCAGCCTCAACAAACGGCCACCCGGGGTCTGCTGCTTCCATTAGCACGCACGCACGCACACACACACACTGACGCCGTCTCTTCAAGAGACCTTCACATCCACGAATCCAAGCGATGCTCAGATTTGTTAAAGGCTATTTCTCAGAAAAAGTAGAAGAAAGCTGACGATGGCCAGGACTAATCGTTATTCAGCCATTATGCACAAAAGTGTTTCTGAACCCTTTAATTCAGTTAAGAAGTTGTTTAAATAAACACACACACACACACCTGCATCCACACATCAGACCCACTGAAGATTCTCTGTTTATTCTCAAAGGTTTGGTCCAGCCTCACTGATCCCCCTGCTCCTCTGAGCTACAGTTCCCTGAACTGCAGGTTTAGGAAGCCCTCAGGAAGCACAAGGGCAACAGTGGTGCAGGAAGGGGGGTGGGGTAGATTAAGAGATGAGGAGAATCAAGGATGAAGAGAGAGAAAGGAGGAGAACATAAGATGTTGAGGAAGGAGAGGAAGGACAAGAAAAGTATATCTACGTGTGTGTGTGTGCGTGCATGTGTGTGTGTGTTCTGATGAAATCTGCCATCCTCAGCAGCCTCCTTCTAAAAGAAATCGGATTAGCTCTCCTCTGGGAGGGAACCTTCAGGAATGCAGATGAAGGATTGCGGCACAGGTTCCTCTCCTGGACTCCAGGAGGTCCTTGCACACACACACTCACACACTCACACACTCACACACACACACACACACATACACACTCGCATACACACATGCCATTAAGTAGAATCTCAGTTTTCTGGTTTCTGGTCTCATTAGGTGTCCTGTTCAAACATAATATGTGACTTGAATAGAAAAGATTGTCTTCTAAACTCATTTTGTTCTATTGACTAAGTTTAGTTTCACATCGTCGCTTGTCAGCTTTGCCAATTTTATTCGAGTTGATTTGAAGTTTGATTTAATTTGTTTATAACAAAAAAGGATCAGGATCAAAACCATGTTATTCCCAGTTATAATAAATGTACGTCCAATTCTTGTTGTGACATTGAGATCTATTGACGGCTTTAGCCGGTGGGTAATTGGTGATGCAGTGTCTTGTAGAAGTTCTGTGATCTGTAAGTGAAACAAAGTTTAAAAACCAGCACCTCTGAGGCACTTATCACAAATCTGGTTTGTTTAATGAGCCTCAAAGTCACATATAAAACAATCTTCTTATCTGAATAGACTCTAGGGTTGCACAGTGTTATTTTTTACGGCCATTAAGCTTTCCTCAAATATACCAAAATATTCAATATTTCCAACAGGACCATCTGCCTAAAAGGCTCAGATTTTGTCCTGTTACTGAATGCTATTTAGGCCTTTTTAAAGGTTTCTATTTTTAATTTTTTTGTGTTTTTTGATAAAGATAAAACAGACAAATATCATTGCTTGCAAGTGAGATCTGTGATCTCAATGGGATTTGTGTAGTAAAAAAAGGGTAATATATATTTCCCAAAACAGAGTAATTTAGGGAATAAATCTATGAATAAAGGCTGGAACAAAAGTTACATAGATATAGATGGATGGATGGATGGATGGATGGATGGATGGATGGATGGATGGATGGATGGACTT